ACCACACCATATGGTTTTCTTGGCTGTAATCTTTATGGGACAGAGTGCCAGGGCTTTCTCCTGCAGAACCTCTGGGTGGTGGGCCTTCTGGTCAGCAGCCAAGGGCTTCACTGTTGGGCCACCTGTGCTTCTGGCTCACAGTTCATCTTCCTCTATTTGAACGAGATGACGAACAACTTCCTGAAACATTCTTCTGGATCCTACAGCATCCTCTTCCTTTGTGTCTCCCAAGATACTGGTATCTTCTGTGTTCTGAGGACTTAGAAAACAGGCCCTAGACTGGTAATATTGAGTGAAAAAGCCCCCCAAAATAGTCATGGTGCAATGAATCACTTGGTATGGCTCTGCTAGCCATGGGCTTTGTGACTCCCCAGACGGCTGGGTAGGACTATGCAAATGTTAGGTGCTTGTGGCCCACCAAGGGGATTGGACAGCTTGCTAATAATGTAAAATAAGGTACATGGCCCCCTTGTGGGGGTGGGACCATGGAAATAAGATGTATGGAACCCTAACATGAGGATTAGTCAGTTTTGCCATCTCAGTAGGCTTAAAATGAGCCCTCCCCAAGGCAGAAGGGGGGCTCTCACTACCATTAAGAAGGCAGGCGTGGAGTGCGTCTTTGGATCCAAGATCCCTGTGCTGAGGAGAGGGCAGAGGGATGGGGGCAGCAGAACCAAGAGACCAGCACAAGGCAGAGTGGTGGGGTTGCTGGCCCACAGAGTGGGGAAGCTAAGTGCCTTTGGGCAGAAGGCTTGCGGGTGGTGCACTTAGGTGTACCTATTGGCAGAGCTATATGACCTTTGTAACACTTGTCAGAGCAGGGCAGAGGCCAAACTGAGAGTCTGAGGGCCACAGACAGGTGTGCCTGCGAGCATGGTGGAGGGGAGGCTGTCCTGATCAAAGAATTATATCCTGAGCATTCTGAACCTGAATTGTAACCTGGTGCTTCCGAAATAAACCCCATAATCATGAATATTGTCTATAAGTTCTGCTTGGCCATTGCAATGGATTATCAAACCCAGCAGAGAAGTAGTGAGTGCTATGGGAGGGACAGCTGGTCTCAGAACTGGTGAGAAGGTTGGAGGGTGGCAGCCTCTGCCTTATGGGATTCAGCTTAGGGCTGCTGCTCTTGATGCTTCTCTCTCTTGTCCTCGTGAAGTCAGAGGAGGTCAGAGGATGCCACCTGCAGTGCAGTGAATGACTTGGTATGGCTCTTCTAGCCATGGTCTTTGTAACTCCCACCAGATTACTGGGTGGGACCATGCAAATAAGGTGTATGGAACTCGAATGTTGAGAATGGTTAGTTTTGTCACTTTGCCAGGCTTCCTAGAGGAAGAGGGGGGGGGATCTCATTGCCATCAAGAAAGAAGAGCTGGAGTTGGAGTGGAGTGTGTCCTTGGACCCGAGATCCCTGGGCTGGACCTCCTTGGGCAGAGACAGATCCCTGGGCAGAAACAACCAGGCAGAGACACCCCGGTAGAGATGCCCAGCAGAGAGACGGCAGCAGTAGAACCAAGAGGCACGAGACAGAGCAGTGGGCTTGCTGGCCCACGGAGCAAGAAAGCTGAGTGCCCTTGGGCAGGAGGCTTGCTTGTGGAGTGGGGTGCACGTAGGTGTACCTATTGGCTAAGCTAAAAGAGCTTTGTAACACTTGCCCGAGCAGGGCAGAGGCCAGGCGGAGAAGCCAAGGGCCAGAGAGATGTGCCTGAGGGCACAGCAGAGGGGAGACTGTCCTGATTGAAGAACTGTATCCTGAGAGGGTTCCTGAACCTGAATTGTAGCCTGTTACTTCCCTAATAAACCCCATAATCGCGAGTGTGGTCTGTGAGTTCTGGGAGACCACTGTAATGAATTATGGAACCCAGCAGAAAAGTAGCGAGTGCCGTGGGAGGGACAGTTGGTGTCAGAATTGGTGAAAAGGCTGGAGGATGGTGGCCTGTCTGGCCTCATAGGGATAAGCCTTGGGCTACTGATGGTGATTCTGTCAGAAGACGCCACCCCCATGTCCTTTCTGTACTACCATTCTCTGATTCTTTTTCTATGAAAGTCAAAAGCAGGGATCAGGTCCTGTCTGTGGTCAGTGGTGCCTCTGGGTCTCTGAGTGAAGCGGAGTGGCCAACTCCAGGGGGATTGATGGCCTCATGTCTTCCGGCACTTTCCACATGGTTGCTTTCAGACCAGCTCCATCTGTCTCCGTGGTGACATCCTGGACTGTGCATCTTCATGCTGGAGGTGATGTGAGTGGCTTCTCCATGTCTCCTCGTGAGTATTTTAGTGCAAAGCTGGGAGAAGTGGCAGCTGGATGTTACTTACATCTGAAGTTTCATAAAAAATCTCTGGATGTGGTCATTTACAAATCACTGATCACAAGTGACAAGGGATCCCAGAAGTTAAACACATTTTTTGATTCTCCTGCCAGCACACTGGTAAGCATGAGGTGACCCTTAGAAATCCAGTTATATTAAGGCTTCCCTCATAGCAAATCCATCCCCCACTTGTCAGCTGGTCACTCTATGGGGGCTTGAGTGTTGCTAGGATGTTGGAATCTATGGCAGCAGGGAGGAGGTATCATCAGAGCTTCCAGGCTCACTCAGATCAGGAAGAAAGGCCTGGTGATCCACTTTGGAAAATCAACCAATGAGAACCCATGAATCAAGAGAATATTTTCTGATGGACTCAAATATGCCAACAACCATGGGCACGGTGCAGGAGTGGGCAACATTTCATGCTGTTATACGAGTTGCCATGAGGCTGAGCAGACTCAACAGCAACTAACAGCAACAGTAACAAGTCCATGGTCAAACTGTGCCTGAGTTCAATGAGCCTGGTCAGGAACCATTCTGTCTTGGTCATCAACCACATGCAGAGTTGTTTTGCCATTTAAATAAACAGGAGGAAATATTTCTACAAAATCTAGTTCAGGAGCACCAGAACCAGAACCAGAACCAAAACCAACCCAATACAACCCAACCCAACTCAACCCCAACCCAACCCAACCCAACTCCAACCCAACCCAACTCAACTCCAACCCAACCCAACCCAACCCAAGTCAACCCCAACCCAAACCAAAACCAACCCAATCTACCTCAAGCCAACCCCAAACCAAACCAAGCCAAACCCACTGCCATGGAGTCGAATCTGACTCATAGTGCCTCTAGAGGACACACTAGCACCACCTCATAGAGTTTCCAAGGCCATCATCATTAGAGAAGCAGACTGCCTCATCTTCCTCTTGCAGAGTGGTTGGTGGGTTTGAACCACTGGCCTTTTGATTAACAGCCAAGTGTTTAACCACCATGCCACCAGGGCTCCCTTAGTGCAGGAGTAAGCAAGGGGGAGGGGTGGGCTAAGAAGGGCAGGACATCTGGAGTCATGACTGTGACTGGGAACAAGCAGAAGCATGCGTCAGAAGGAGAATGTGAGTGTGGGGAGTGGGGGTGTGAGTCGGGGTGAGGGTGGAAGTGGAGAGAGATGATACGTGGACTGAATGCTTGAGAAAACCCCATCTCTTCACTCTTCTCTCTGAACCTTCTTATAAACTTCACAGCCAGCATACTTGCACATCACAGCTTCTCTTGAGTGTCCGCTCTCCTCATTATTGACTACACTCTTGTCTCTCTTTGTGTGCTGTGAAATTTCTCTCCATACCCAAATAATTTTTGTTGGACTAACAGGAACACTGACAACACTTCTTACATTGTTGCTTAACTCTTTCCTGTCACTGTCATATTTATAATTGATTACTACTTCCTCCCAGCAAATGACAACCATCAGGAATGCAAAGACTTGGTGTCAGCCCAGTTGACAGTTGGTCAACATCTCCCTGGGCATCAAATGAAGGGGTGGTAGACAGGACAAGCCCCAGATTTCAGCACCATTTTCAGAAGCAGATGAAGCATGCCAGGGGATATCTTTCAGAGACCCTATCCATATAAAGTTCAAGTGACTCCAAAATAAAGGTCACATCATGAGACCACGAGTGCAATGAAGTACAGCTGACTTCTGTAGATGACGAATGATGGGAGTGGGTTCATGGTACCAGTATCATCCAGACCACTGGTATTTACAAGCACAGCAGAAATACCCAACAATTATGACGTGTTCAAAAATGCAATCTAATGAAACAGCCACGTGGTCAACACTCATTACTGGGGTTGAGCTATCCCTAGCAGGTAACTGGGTATGTTTGGTTGCCTATGGAGTGATGTGGGAGCTCTGGTAGTGCAGTGGTTAAAGCATTCAGCTGCATACCTAAAAGATCGGCAGTTCAAACCCACCAGCCACTCAGTGGGAGAAAGACGAGGCCACCTGCCTTGGAAACCCTATGGGGCAGTTACTCTTTATAGGGTTGCTATGGGTCAGAACTGACTCGATGACAATGGGTTTAGCGGGATGGCATAATGTAAGAATGCTTGTGGTGCAGTGGTTAAGCACTTGGCTGGTAACTCAAAGGTTGGCAGTTCGAATCACCAGCTGCTTCGCGGGAGGACGATGAGGTAGTCTGCTTCCCTAAAGATGACAGCCTTGAAAACCCCGTGGGGCAGTGCCACTCTAACATTTAGGGTTGCTGTGAGTTGGAACTGACTTGATGGCAGTGGGTTCTGGGTTTTTATGGAATAACGTGAACTTTCCTGTGTGTTCTGGATGGGCAAGACATCCCTGTGCTAGGTGGGAGTGCGTGGGAGGGAAGGACACACGGAAGAGGTAACTCCAGGGAAGAAGTGGGAAGACAGCTTTTACATTGTGGGGAATGGCAGTACAGGTCATGAAACAAAACATGTAGGAACTTCTGCATGGAAAATGAATTTTGCTCTGTCAACTTTCACACAGATCACAATAAAAACTAAAAAAAAAAAAAAAAACCTGTGCCGGAGGAGCTGGGGAACTGCCCGGGAACCCAGCAAACCTCACCCGACAGGGGAGGCCTCACCTCATCCCCGTTAAGCAGAAGCCTGGTCCTCTGACCACATCCCCCTCCTCACCCCCACAGCACAGCGTACCTCCTGCAGCTTGACCTCCTCCGGCTGCAGGATCTCCAGCACCCCACTGCTCCGAATCTCTGGCAGGTCCTGCCAGAGGTTAAACCTCGAGTGGGGGTTACTGAGCAGGCAGATCTGGGGCAGTGCCTTCCTCTCGGGCGGGCTTGCCAGCTCCTCCTCCTCTTCCTCCTCGGGAGCCTCCTCACTGGCCGGGGACCCGTCTTCATCTGCCTGTATTTCGGCATCCTGTTGCCTCCTGGTTTCTATCTCCTGGAGAGTTGATTTATCTCGGTATTCCTGATACAGGAGCCCTGGAATCACACGGAGTTGTATAAAGAGAAGAACAAGATTTTAGATGAAGGCTGTTCTCAATCTCTCAGTCAAGGCTGTGATATCCTGATGAAGGGCAAATGCTCTGCCCAGGAATGCACAGAGAAAGCAGGACCCGCACATGGCCCAGAAAAGCTCTCTCACCCTGAACCAGCCAGACCTGACACTGTCTTCACTTCCTGGGTAAGAGCAGCATGTGTAACTTATTTTTTTTCCACATAGAATGAAGAAATCCCAAAACACATTCAAAATCCAGTCATACAAATACAGTTAGCCCTACACACTTACTTGGCAACAAGAATCTAGAACCTGTCATGCTCATAAGGATCTAGAACTTGACATGCTCATAAATGATGTGCACAAGTTGATGGAGATGTCCCAGTGCTTGCCACAACCTTAAACAGTTTAACAGACCTGAATCTTCACTCCACTCTATGCAGCTACAGAATAGGGGTACAGTCATGCATCACTTAACATGCATGATAGGTTCTGTGACGTAAGATGTTACGTGATTTGGACGTTGTGTGAATACTGTTATCATATATGGCCAGTCTTCAGATTTCGAATGAGTTAAGTTGAATTTGTGATGAAGTTGGAACACTAGGTATGGTTCGTACCTAACATCAGTCAGTCACACATTTGTCTTCGTATATAGTATATAGTGTACTTTTCTGAGCATAAAAAACATTATGACAACACTTCCCAGACCCACTAAAGTATCTTTAACACAATAATAACAATGTTTTGCTGCGCATTGCAAGGTGGCACCCATTTCTTTTTACAAACCACGTATGGACCTCAAATGGTTACTATTACAGGCTTTGCAGGGGTGGCAGGGTGGGTGCATACGTGGCCCCACGCTGCCCCAGCGGGTGTGGTACCGTGCGTGACTGTAGCTTGAAAGTCTCATTTTGAAGGAAAAGCTAGTACCTCACATCAATTCCTCAACATTATGATTCAAAAGGACAAATGCCCTTCTTTCACTTTCGCACTTTCAGGCTGACTTCCCTGACCAGTTTTCCTTGGAATAAACACATCCCAAGTCTCAAGATCGCAAAGTAGATCAGGGTTACAGATGAACCTGCATTGATGTAGCCTCTCCACAGGGAACAGCGCAGGTGGATCCCGGCCGTGGCCCTGGCACCACCGCAGAGAACACAGAGAACAGGGAGGCACTTCGGTGCAAAGGGGAGGGGCTCTAGGCCCAGGGAGAGGGAGTGCGGCTGGACGAGGAGGTGTGGGGTCAGCTGGCACCCAGCCTGGGAGGAAGCGCCCCAAAGGGGCTTGGCTGCTGAGGCACAGGGCCGGAGGGGGGCCTCAGGATGCCTCGAGCAAGCCTCTTGGAAGAACCATGGACTGGGAAGTGGGGACAGGCGGGGTGAGGTGGGGGACAGTCGCGTACCCCAGAAAGAGGCTGTGGGGGTTCCCAGGAGAACAATGGGGGGGAGGATGGAGCAAAAGGGGACAGGCCTGAGGATGAAGACAGGCCCCGGGAGAGGCGGGAGCTAAGTCACGGACAGAGGGCGGTGGTGGTCCGTGGTGGAGCCTCCCCTTCCAGGAGGGAGGTCTGGGTTCAGTCCCGGCCCCTCAGCCCTGCCACCCCCCCACCGTCAGTGGAGGCTGGAGCGTTGCCATGATTTGCTGTGATGCTCAACAGGCTTCAGCAGACCCCCCAAAGGAAGACGGGGAGGAAGAAAGGCGGACGTTCTCCTGAAAATCACGGAAACCCAGAGCACAACAGTCGGATCCCCGACTGATGGTGGGGACGGCGCAGGAAGGCCGTGCATGAGGCTCCGTGGGGGGGGGGGGGGGGTTGCCGTGTGCAGGGGCCGCCTCAACCACAGCCAGCAAGTCCTGTATAAGGCCCAGAGACCGGCCTGTTAACAGGTCTGGTGGCTCAAAGAGACAGGAACACAGGCGGAGAGCCCGCCTGGGCGTGGCTAGGGTGGAGAGAAACGTTCAACTTTGAACTGCTCAGACTGAAGCATGCTGAGGGCACTGCGGGGGCGCCCAGCGGGCAGGGGACACGCTGCTTTGGAGCCCACGAGAGGGGCTGGGGTCCCTTGATATGCTTACTTATGAAACAAAGATGCCGATTTCCCCAGGAATTCAAACCACTTAGATAAGCGAGCTACTTGTAAAGCACTGGGTCTGACAAGGCAGTAGAACGCCAGCGACTTTCCCTTCTTCATCTAATTGTTAAACAGATCTGAGAGCAGAGAGAAAAAGACTTGGACATCCTGCCTGGGGTTGGAGAAATTATATCAGTAAACAGGAGCCTAATAAATTGAGTCCATGGGCTATACTCCCTGGCTCCCAGAGCTCATACCTCTAAGTTACGAAGCCTTCATGCATCTTAATTTCTGGAAGCAAATGCTGCATTTTTACAAGATTACAACCCAGCAGAAGTGAACAAGGGGTTAATTTCACAGAGGAATTAAAAACAAAATCCAAGTCTCTGCTGACTGCTGCCCAGGACACAGATCCATGAAGACTGAGGTCTTACATCACCACATAAACTGCTTCGATCTCAGATACCAGCTGCCTACACACCCGACAGAACTACTGTTGCCGGCACCATGCTGGTTACTCTCCTGTGAGTCTGATACTGTGTTTACAGAGGTTCAAAGGCCCAGGTCTCCAGGAACTGCCTTGGGGTGACTTCTCAGTGCGTAGCACAGTGCCTCCTCCACGGTAGGGGCTCACGTAGTTGCCGACTCAGACACCGCGTAGAAACGCGTGACCGCGGTTCACGGAAGCATCTAATGTGGCATATTTCTGGAAGGTTCTAAATGATGCCTTACGCGAGCTACAGTTGGCGAGTCATGGGAAGACACTACCTCGAACTCTGATACACGCACTGCAGAGACAGAAATACCAGCACAGTGGGCAGCTGGGTTGAAAATAATATTTCTAAAATCACACTGTGGCAGACACTGTTGGCTGCCTACCTCCCGTCCCCTCAAACTCCTTCTTCCCAGCTGGCAGGAGACAGGTTTGGGTGTTGGCCCATCCTGTGCTCAGGGCAGTGGGTGAATGCCGACCGATGGACACTTCTGCAGGCCCCTTCGCCATAAAGGGATGTCTTCTAAAGGCTTCTCATAAGAGTCCGTTCCTGAGAGCCACAAGAAGGTAAACGGTCCTTCCAGATTTTACGATGGATGCTTGAGGACACGATGCCTGGAGTCGTGGCTGCCATCTTGTGACACAACCCCCAAAGGCTGAGAACGGCTGAAGGAAGGCAGCTGGGTCACCACTGGAGTGAACCAATGTCAGAGCCCCCTGCCTCTGGAATCACGAACTGAAGGAGAACACTTCTACTGGGTAGAGTCACTGGGGGTTGAGTGTTTTGTTACTTGCAGCCAAAGACTCCCAATACAAGTAATCTTAGAATTTTCTTAAAACTTCGTACTTCTCTCTGAGGTATTTCCAGAAACAAACAAACAAACAAACTCGCTGCTGTCAAGTTGATTCAACTCATAGTGACCCCTCCTTGAGTTTCTGAGGCAGTATCACTACGGAAGTAGATTGCCCAATCTTTCTTCTGAGGAGCGGCTGGTGGGTTTGAACCTCCAGCCTTCTGGTTAGCAGTCAAGTGCTTTAGGCACTACACCACCAGAGCTCCTGCTGAGGTATTCAGCATACGAATTCAAAGACCAATTTTCCTGTAGTTATTGTGAGTACAAGGAGGTATCTGACACACAGTGTAACCGTTTCTCAGTCACTATATTTTCATTTGCCTTAAAATTCAGATTCAAATAAAAACAAGAAAGCCCCACCCAAGGAGCTGTGTGCTCTCTGACTAAATGTCTGAACTCTGTGTACCATTATCCCGTACTTTGTACACTCAGAAAACACAACTTTATATGGAAATCAACTTTACCTGTAAAAGGGCAAAGCACGAAGCTTGCACCCACTACTACGTCATGTGGAGCCGAAGTCTCGAGGACTCAGTTCCCACCTCTCCTAATCAAAACGTTCTGTGCCAGGTTGGCTGAGCTGTCCCTCAGAGGGAGGAGCAGTCCCGAGCTCCTCTTCCCAAACCCTCTGGAATAATTTCCCAGCTCACTTTCCAAAGAGAATAATTCCTTGGATCGTTCAAATAGAAACTTCCTGAAGGACAGGGAGCACATTATTTATGAGCATCTCCCATGTGCCAAGCATCGTGCTGGGCGCTAGAGGCGACAACAATAACACCACAGACAAATCCCAGGGGTGTCACTAGCGTTGGTGTCACTCACAGTGTCACCGTCCCCCCGCCCCCCCCACCCTCCTCCAGTACCAGACCATAGAGAACCCTTGGTCATGTTTATGATGAGTTTTAACCATAGAATAATATGTAATAAACATAGTTATGAATTGCTTAAATGTAATATTCCTTCAGATTATAGGACTACTAACCACAAAACTGCTGCTTCGTGGAATCTTTCTACATTGAATGACAATATTATTAGTTACATTATTAGTAACTGAGTGGAAACTTTTAATTTTTCTCCTTTTTCTTTAATGATTACTTCACTCTCAAATAAGTTACTGATCTAGGTTCACAAATACTAATTACCACAATATTGTGGCTAAAACACCAGAGAATCTGAAAAAAGCAGCAACTATAAAAACACTGGCACCGATGAAAACAACACGTTGTGCTTGTAGCGTGTAGACAGGACCGCGTGATCCACAGCGTCACTGCAATGCAGTGATGATGACGGCTCTGACCAGAGCCACTAGAAGGTTCAGAACGTAAATTAGCACAGTGTTAACTCTTCTCAGTACGTTGTTACATGTAAGCTGGACTTAGGAAAATGTTTTCTTTCATTGTTGTTATAACTAACCATGGGACTATTCTCATAGAAAATAATAAACTTCTGCTAAAACACTGCACCAAAGTTTTATGAAGTCATTCTGATGCCACCCCCCGATAGTGCCACCCAGTGCAGTTTGCATCTCCTGCACCCCCTAGTGACGTCAGTGACACACCACCAAACCAGTAAGACAGATCTCTATTCTCAGGGTGACACAGTGGTTAAGTGCTTGGCGGCTAACCAAAAGATCAGCAGTTCGAACCCACCAGCTGCTCAGTGGGAGAGGGGCATGGCAGTCAGCTTCCTTAAAGATTTACAGTCTTGGAAGGCCTATGGGGCAGTTCTACTCTGTCTCAGACGGTCACTGTGAGTTGGAATTGACTCAATGGCAAAGGGTATGATCTCAGGAGACATGGGCTGGTGCCTTGCTTGCTGCTAACCAAAAGGTTCCAAGTTTGAATCCACCCAAAGGTGCCCTGGGAAGACCTGGTGACCCAGCCACTGGAAACTCTCTGGAGCACAGTTCTCTTTTGCCACGCATGGAGACATGTGTGTCGGAACTGACTGGGCAGTAAGTGGTGGTGATGATGGTCTCCTGAGGGCCACAGCCAGTCTGATAATTATACGCCCTATTTGCAAAGGCCAATAAAGTGGTCCACAAAATGCCCACGTGCCATCCCACTTCTGTCCCCATTAATCACACCGTGTCCTGAGGAACCTGCAGGTTTCCCTGACACCTGGCAAAGACGCCCCTTCACTCACACGGCTGAAAGCAGCTTTGACATTACTGGCTTAGGAGAGACCTCAAGTTACCAAGTCATGAGGAAGGGTATGACATGACATGTGCTGCCATTCCACACTGGGCGCTCAGCTCTGTCCCTGAGAAATTCACCTTACTTTCAGGAGATACTGACGGGGGGCAGGAGGGGAACCCAGAATGCCAGAGCCCCTACCGTTTAACAGCCGACTGAGACTGAGATGGGAGTCCAAGATGGGCAGCCCTGGGGCCCTGACTCCTAACTTTGACCTCAGCCCACTTAAGTGTCTGGCTCAACAAGTCTCCGGGGTGAAGTCCCCACACGTCCCTAACACAGAGCCAGAGGAAGGCAGGGTCTGTGAGAGGGGACACCGGCCTCTTCTGCCTGACTCCAGATGTCCTCCTAAGTCATAACACAGCACTTCACCAAATGAGGGCCTGCTTCCAGAGAGGGGCGATCGAAGCTTCTGGAGTTTGCCCAGGCACAGTTTGTCCTGCCCACTAGGAAGGACAATGCGGCTGAGGGCTGGGAGGAAGAGGCTTCAGGGGTCTTTGTTTCAAATGACAGTTTTCTAACGGTTGGCAGCATTCAGAACAGCCCCACTCTGCTTCCCCAGCCATCAAAGGGAAGACCACCAGGCCCGGCCCCAGAACCCCAAGCCTGACGCAGGGGTCTGCAGGCGGGAACACAGTTCCTGGAGGCAGCCCCCGTAAGAGCGCAGCGTGCACTCCACCCCCTCAGCTTTGCAAGAGGCTCTGCTCCTCTCTACGTTCAGTTTTTTAAGAAACACTGCTAGGGACGAGTGGGCAGGCCCGAGACTCCGCCAGGGTCCTGTGGCAACAGAACTGCACTTCCACCCCTGGCGACCCCTCGGTCTGTCCCAGCCTCTGTGACTGGAGGACAAGAATTACATTATTTAGTTGTTTTTTTTTTTGGTTTGGTTTGTTTAAGGAAGAAATTTCCAGACCTCAGATTATTACTTAACGCCAAGGCTGCTGCTCCAACAGTGAGAAGAATTAACAGCTTTTAAGCAGTTGGCACCATTTGCAGGAAAACGGACCCCACGTTAGCCCTGCCCTGGTGCCTCAGGGGACGGAGATGGGAACTCGTTAGATGTCACTAATAATTCTGTTTTCTTAATGCAAGTGTTGGGTTTCTTGGGGCGCTGCTTCACCCCATTGCGTTGGCAGCTGCGCTGTGGCTTTGTGGCCATGGGACACACTGGCTGAAGGCAGAGGGGAAGGGAGAGAGGCTGAGGGGAACATTGCCTCCAGGCGCCAGTCCAAGGGGGCACCAGACAAGGCCAGCCAGCCAGTCACCTGCCATCCCATCCCCATGGACAAGGGGACCAAAACCTTAAGAGAACATCCCCGGGCTCATGCTTCCGAAGCCTCTGACCCACTGTCTCCAGAGTCCTTCACCCCCACCTCTGGCCACGTTTCTGGGGGGGCAGGTGACACCAGGCTTCCCTTCCAAACGCAGGGGTGTGTGTGTGTGTGTGTGTGTGTTGGGGGGTCTGGCTTCCTCTCTCCTTAACCTTCTCCCCCCTGCCCTGCCCCCATCCCCACCTCCACACTCCAGGGTCTTTGCTCCGACTCTGCCACCGCAGCCCAGGTTAGCCTCCCCCTAAGGCCCTCCCCTCCCTCCCGCGTGGCCCACCCCGCACCGCAGAAGTGGCCCCGGGGACGAGGTGCCCTCCCCAGGGAAGGGCTGGGCAGCAGACCCCTCCGGAGAGAAGGGTGACGTCCACTCGCTAAAGCCCAATTGTTCAGCGACATGACCATGTGGCAGTTTCGCGTCTGGGACCATTTAGAACCAAATATGTCAAAGGACGCTCCGACTCGCGTCAGACACCTTGGCTCGCACGCAGTGCGGCGGGATCCCTTGAGCAGGGGGCCCCCGGGGGGCCCCAAACGCAGCCGCGCCGCCGAGGACACCCACCTATTTGCTCGATGAGGTTCCTCCAGGAGTCGGCGGGGATGGGGTGGATTCTCTGCAGGGCCTCGGTGAGCGTGGTGGGGCTGTCGGCCAGCGCCGGGCACTCCTCGGGCGTGGCCCCGTTGCCCGGGGTGGAGGACGACTCGCTGCAGGGGAGGGCGGGGGGCAGGCCCGGTTACTGGGGAGCGAGCACACGTCGCCGGGCCGGGCGCGGGCGAGG